ATAATAATAATAATAATAATAATAATAATAATAATAATAATAATAATAATAATAATAATAATAATAATAATAAATAACTGTGAAATGCTCAAGGATGATTTTCATTTTTAATATTTTTTGCCACTTTTATTACTTTATAAGTAAGTTAAAGTGTGGAATATACATAATACTCCTCCTGTTTTCCCAAAATAACTACCTTGTGAGGGAGGTTGGGCTGAGATAGACTGGATCATCAAGCCAACTTTCATACCTGAAACAAAACTAGCACTCACAGTCTCTTGATTTTTTAGGACAGCACCCTAATTGCTACATCAAACTGGTTCTCTTTAACCTTTTTTTAAAATTAAATTTCTTTAAACTAGAAAAATGATCAAACAAATAGCAACTGCAGTTCAATTTAAATGAGTGTAAATTGATACTTACTGGAACACATACACCCTCTCCATTTTATATAAATACTAATGGGATCTGAACTGCCTATATAACCAACTAGAAAAAAAGATATTGGGTCATATGTGATTTAATGAAGATTTCAGCTCACTGTATGGCAGCTGGGAAAAAGACAGAATTCCATGCTAGGTTCATTAAGAAAGACTAGAAATACAAGTGCCCACATAACATTCATATATAAATCTATAATGCATCTCAAACACCATACACAGTTCTGGTTGCCATATATGGAAAAAGATAGAACCGGAAAAGATTTGGAAGAGGACAAACCAAATGAACAGAAGGCTCCAACACTTTTCTTATGAGGAAAAAAAAACTAGAAAAAATGGACCCTTTAGCTTAGGAAAAAGACAAATAAAAGGGACATGGTTGAGTATGCATGGTATGAAGTTTTCCTACTTCTCAAATCACTAATATAAAACAAGATGATGACAATTACCATGCATGAATTTAAGGAGTTGGATAAATTCCTGGGTGATGGCTGGCTACAAATCTTGAACCTGAATATTTGCCAATTTACATGATTTCCAAAGTTTTGTTCTTTTTTGAGAATCACAGTTCTTCCCTTCCTGTATTGATATGTTATGCTACTACCGGTATAAAGTCAAAGGAAATAGAAGAAAGAAATCAGAGATTGTTTGATGTATGAAATATGCCATTTAAATTTTTTTGTTGATAATAAGTTTCTACCTTTAGATGGAATTAGACAATGTTGCTATAAAAACTGGACCAAAAATAGATAGATGCACAGAATACAAATTGCCCAAGATAACATTGAAGATTTTTTATTCCATAACTATTGCATTTCTGTATACCTTTCGGTGATGAATCTCAACAACTGAAGTAAGACTTTATATGTGAATACTTACTGCAGGGGTGTCAAGTTCGCGGGCCAGATGCATCATGCACTGGACATCCCCACTTCCATTTTAGCAAAGGGGATGAAAAAGTTGCAATATGTCACATGATGACAATGTGACAATGTGAGTTTGACACCCCTGACCTACTGGATCATCAATATGCCAGTTAATCCAACATGTTCTTACTTGTCTTGTGGATGCTGATCTAATTTTTCATTGCCACATCTGTTACATATAGGCCAAGAGAAAGCAGTTTTCTCATTAACGCCAACTACAGTACCTGAAAAAAAGATAAAATAATTTGCAAAATTTAGTATACTTTGACTTTGAACGCCTTTAACAATCATGTCTGTTTAGAAATACATTTTTTCTCCTTTTTATAAGTATAATTAGCAATATTTAGATTTCCATTGATTTCAGAATTGTAATCCAATCCTAGTTGCTCTCCTAAATATTAAAAAAGCTGTAACCTATGTTTTATTATTTCTCTAATTTCTCTTTTTTCATATCAAACAGGAAATATTTTTGTGATTATATAGCCAATTTAATTAGCTAAGAATTAATATTTTTTGCCAGCGAATACTGCCTCCCTTAGTTTCTGCCTTCATGGTAAAACTAGACCTTAGTTAATCAGAACATTCTGATTAAATAATATCAGGGCATGAAGTCGAATTTAAATGATGATTAAATATCCTGTCTATAGCTTGTCCAGAGCTATTAAACAGTTTTCTTATATGGATAAAAAGGGGAATTATAGTTAATGGATGATTTTCTAAATTTATTCCATAAATTGATGAGCTGTGATGCCACAGTGATTAGAATACAGTAATTGCATGCTAATTCTGTCAACTGCCAGCAATTCAATTCTCACTGGCTCATGGTTGACTTAGCCTTCCACCCTTCCAAGGTCAGTAAAATGAGGACCCAGATTGTTGGAGGTAATATGCTGACGTTGTAAACTGCTTAGAGAGGGCTGTAAAGCACTATGAAGCAATATATGTCTAAGTTCTATTGCTATTTGTTACATCCTTTAGAGAAGTCATTTGAACAAAAGGGTCTTCATGTCTCATTTTATGAAGTTCTGATATACTTGCCTAAAGATAGCTATTACTTTAATCTGAAGCAAACCAAAGTGAAGGGAAAAAAACAGACATGTCAGAGTTTTTTAAAAGCATTTACTCTGTTTAACACCAGGAATTATTCTTTATTTATATCCAGGTAACTGAGATTCAAGTATGTTTTCCCAAGCCATATACGTGACTAGAAACATTAAAGAATTGAAGGTCAGTCAGATATTTGAATCACTAGTAAGCATTGTTGTTTAGTGTTATAAATCAAGCAAGATGGGTTATTTTATGGAAAGGCTACTAAAAAGATTTAGAACAATAGCAGTTTGCTGAGCCAAGCAATAAACATTAATGTTTACAAGCAAAACATATAAATGAGTAATCTTAAAACACCTGCAAATAAATGGATTACAATTGTCAATCCTACAGTGTCAATGGCAAATTGCCCAGAAAGCCCTGAAGGGTTGTGTAACATGCTTGCCTTTTGATAAATGAAATTATTAGGAAAATCACGACTGGCAACAATCCTATACACAGGTAGTCCTTGACTTACAACCACAATTGACCAAAAGTTCTGTTCCTAAATATAAGTATAATCTTTATTGTCATTGTACTTAAATACAACAAAATTGGTTAAGTAAGACATTTGTTTAATGAATTTTGACCCACTTTAGAACGTTTCTTGCCACAGTTGTTAAATGAATCAGTGCAGTTGTTAAGTCAGTTGTTAAGTGAATCTCACTTCCTCATTGACTTTGCTTGTCAGAATTTAGGAAAAAGAGTCAGTCACCGAACATCTGAATTTTGATCATGTCGCCATGGAGATGCTGCAATTGTATGAAAAACAATGCTTGTACGTATGAAAATAGTTGTAAGCCACTTTTTCAGTGCGATTATAACTAAATGAATAGTGAAGTCGAGGACTACCTGTACTAGACATCAGTGCAGGAATATGTAATTTAATTAATTCAGGGTTGTGAGAAAAGCAATATGTATATATTTTGTTTTATATACAGTTTAAGCTTTACAATGAGTTAAAAAAAACCTTCAATCATGAAGAAAGACCAGATAAAGTAAGAAATGTAAGCCAAAGCAGGGCTTATATCCAAATTTTCTTCCCAAGTTCACAAGGTGATACATATAGGCATCTTCCAATTTATCCTTGCAACCATCCCATTATATAAATAGAGTTACCCAAGCCTTTGCAGATTCTGCAGTCTGGGATCATTTGTGAGGTCATTATCCAATATAATGACACCCATAAAATGCCAACAGAACAACTATTACAAAAAGTATCATTGCCATTTTAATAATCTGCTACTGCACCAGACGTGTCAACTATAACTTCTTCAAATGAAAATTATTAATTAAAGTAACAAGAAACAAGAAATATAATTTGTCATACTCTCTTGGAAAACAGGCAAAAGAAGAGTTAGTATTAAGATTTCAAATAACAAAAAATATAGTTACAAACCTCTTACAGTACAAATAGAATTGATTTGAGTAGTAGAATCCAGATAATCTAGTTTGACAGGACCAGTCAGTTCAGTGATGTCAGCACCAGCAGCCCTACACAAAAGGGGCTTTTGTAGCAAGAGTACGGTACGTTCAATGCAAATAATCTTACCTGCCAACAAAGACATTTTGATAAGTTACAGTAACAAGGAAAAAATGGCCTTGTTAATTAACTAAGCCAATAAAGACAAATTCCTGCAAGCATTTCAGTAAGCTTGTTTTAGTCTGATTTATTCAAATGAGCACTCTATTCTTGTTAATAGTCTGCCAGCACCTACTAACCTAGTTTTATTTAAAAAGGAAATTGGCTGCACATTGAATTTTCTTTTATCTTTTAATGGTGGATTGGGAGTTATTCCAAAGTTATTCACATGCCGCACTTTGCTCCCCAAAACAGGGTAGTCAAATCTTTGCCCAGAGGAGAGTCACCTGGATGATTCAGTTCTGGAAGCATAGGTTTGTGCAAATAGGCCAGAGATTTAAATCTGATAGCCAACAATGACCAAATATGTACTGATTAGCTTATACTGAACATGATTATAATTTAATTTTATTCTTCGCAATTAGTGTTAGCTACAGTAATGGCATTGATACTAGTACTATGTTGGAAACTCTGTCCAGATACTTTTTTCCCATTCAATGGTGTCCGATTTTTGGAGACTGCCTGGACAAGTCTCTGTGGTTTTCTTGGGAAGGTTTTTTGTAAGTGCTTTGCCACGACCTTTTTCCTAGTGCTGAGAGAAAGTGAGTAGCCCAAGGTCACCAAGTTGGCTTTGTGCCAAAAGTGGGACTAAAACTTGCAGTCTCCTGGTTTTTAGCCTGATGTCTTAACCAGTAGCTCTTCACTGAAATATCTACAAGCATGATTTATTGTTTAAAATAAAAGTTCGGTTTGGGTCATTATATTTAGAGAAACAATTTAGATTATAAGATGGCATAGTTTTAACAACAACAAACATTCCAGAAGTGAGATAAGCAGCTATAATATAGACAATAAAACTTATTCTGGTGCATAATTCTCTACATTTCCTTCCCATTTGATACCACTGGACTGGATATGTAACACACAAAAAAATGGTTTTACTGGTGCACATTAAATAAATTATTACATATCAAATGTCCTCAGCAAACACCTTGAAGTATGCTGGTATGCTATCAAATCAATAAAGATTAATCAGTGGAAAGCATGAAAAGGAGGGTTGCTTCTTCAACTTCGTTATCAATACAGTTCCACTGGTTTCCATTTCACTGTCATTATAAAACTCTGTAATTTTTAAATATATCCTCTATGTTTTCTTATTATTTAGTCCCTTCCTTTTGAGTCATCATCTATTTTCTGTTGTAAGGATGGCTAGATGTTGGAAAGTCATCTTATTTAGTAAATAAGTTGCTTTCAAAGCTTTTCCATTGGTAAAGAAAGACTGGGTATACTTTAATTAACAAACATAACAAAAATAACAGAAAATAAGATTTGGCTCTCTATTCGTAATATATTGTAATGTCCAACGGTCAGATATATCTTTTTAATTTGGGGCTAAAGAATGAAGAAACTCCCCTTTATTGCGCAATGTTTATGTTTGTATTAGGAGAGATCTGGAGAACAATCTGGATGGTAATGAAAAGTATGAAAACATAATTATTGGGTGATCCTGTGGGACAGGGCAGTTTGACCATTAAAAAGAAAAGGCAGATTGATTGCTTTCTCACATCTTTTTCAGTTTGCTGCCTAACCAAAAATTTCAAAGTAAGAAATGTTGAGTCTTATAATCATAAATCCTGCTATTGATTGCTAGGTTAGTTGCTGGTTAAACATATTATCCAGCATTTAATTTTGAATGAAAGTACAGACCTGGCATCTGAAATGAGCACCTGGCAAGAGTGCAAAACTAGTTAAAATGGCCTGATCCGGAAATCGTATAAAACTGGATAGTTTCCTCAATCCACTTAGGGAATTTTATACCTCATCTGTCAACAATACCATCAATACCCTGGTTGATCAATGGGATAAAACACTACTTATTGACAATATTCTTTTTGTCTTTCTCTCTCACCTCTATTGCAGAAACTATCAGCCCTTACTTTTCTAGCGAGCTGAAAGTGATGAACTGGATGGGATATTTGCTGGAGAACAAAGTCAGGACAAATCAAATTGAGTAGGAGCTATCTGAAGTATTCTTTGGATTACTATTCTGCTGTATGCAGGAAAAGACAGCACAGAAACTTTCTTTTATGCCTTTACTGTATCTTCATAAAACAACTGCAGCATCTTCATCAAGAACAAAGAAGAAAGGAACATCTAGTGACTTGCCATAAAAAAATGTGCATCCTCCTTTATGAACAAAATTGATCAGATTTGTCTCAACTTGGACTCCAATGCTGGAGCATGTCACAAGGACAAAATCTTGGCAACTGTTTGTCCTCTTAGTTCACAAAGAAAACATTTGCACAATTAATAGCAATAGCAATAGCAATAGCAATAGCAGTAGACTTATATACCGCTTCATAGGCCTTTCAGGCCTCTCTAAGCGGTTTACAGAGAGTCAGCATATTGCCCCCAACAATCTGGGTCCTCAATATCAAGGCTAAATAGAATTCTGAATCCAGAGAAGCAGCTATCTAAAGAAGAATTCAAAGAAGAAGGGGAGCAATACAATGAAGGGGTAGAAATGGAGAGAAATAAAAAGCAGACAAAAAGCTCCATTGGTACTGGCAGTGGTGTAGGGAAAATTGTAAAAAAGGGAGGTTTCCCAACAAAAGGGAATAAAAAGGAGACACAAGCAGTTTTGGAGGTTGTTAGTGGCATAAGGGAAATTGAAGTAGGAGATTATGCCG